CGCGGAGCACCGTGCACGGCCACGGTGCGCGCAGGAAGCTGCTCAGAGCTTTGCACACCGCCGCCGGCACCGAGGGCGGCCGCAGTCGCTGTGGGACTCATTCCTACTGACATGAGTGGGGCAACAACTTCGGCGGGAGCTGGGGTGCGCCTGGTGCCCGAGGGAGGAGGGGGCCCGGCGCGGAGCTGGAGCTGCCGGTGTTCTTGCAGCACCGACTCGCGGGGGTACCAAGGCCGGCTCCGGCTCGTGAGACAGGGGCTGCACCGAGGGAAGGGGCCCGGGAGCAGGGCACCCTTGCACTCGGTTACGAGGAGCCCCTACGGCTCCCGCCGGCCGCCTGGTCGGGGAGCGCTGGCGATGCACGCAGGGCAGAGGGGCCTTTCGGCAGCGTGGGCACCGGCGGGCCTGCTGCCAGCCCCGGGCTGCTGCCCGCCGACAGACGGGCCGGTGCAGCAAACGGCTCGGACTGTACACCGGGGACAAGGAAAACAGTGACAGCCGGTCGACCTGGCATCTGATTCCGTTGCTGTTTCTTGGTGACTAAAGTATCACTTCAGTCAGATTTAGCGCGGTGGGTTTTTGTCTTTAGTTTTTAATGCCCCAGTCAGGAAATCCGAACGAGTTTTGGACAAATAGCGCAGGCAGCCGGAGCCGCTGATGGCCCCCCCGGCACCGTCGTTGCGACTCCCGCTCAGCACCGCTCTCTCCCTCCTCAGACTTGGACCCACATAGATCGCCGCGATTAATTTCCATCAAAGCAAAAAGCATTTAAGCACACAACGCCCTCGGCGGGCTGCATCTCGCCCGCTCTTCCCACAGGCGCGCAGCCTTTGCCGCCCCTGTCCCGCGGTGTCCGGCCGTGGGATTGCCACCCGACAGGCACCACCACCAGGACAGCCAGCCCGACGGGTGCCTCCTAGCCGTCCCTACGCTAGGGAGCCCGCGGGGGCTTTTGCTCTTCAGACACCGCCGCGCCCCGGCTCCCTGCTCCCGGGAGCATCACGTCGGGCAGAAGAAGTGACAAACCGCCGGAGGCCGCGGTCAGCTTTGCCGTGCGCACGACGGCGGGCGCCCCGCGGAACTTGCGCGCTGTGCTACGGTGCGGATGGGGAAAGGCGGGTGCGGAGGCGGCCGCCAGCGCCGCTGGGAGCGGGGCGAGGAATCTGCCCTCTGCGGTGTTGCCGCAGTGGGTTCCGAGTCCGAGACAGCCGGAGAGGCCGCGGAGGTCTCTGTGGAGCAAAGGCTCCGTGGCGGGGCCATAGCCTGGTACAGCCGGCCTGCGCCGGAGGGATGTCTTGCCCCCGCCCCGAGGACACGGAGATGTCCGTCTCCTGCCTGGAGGAGCTTGCTCCTTGCAGCCGTCCTGCCTCGAGCGTGGTGGGCCCACCCAGCGGAGCCCAAAACCGGCGGCTTTCTCCCGCTCGTCCCAGCCTGCTGCCTGCTGACCTCCTCAGGGAACAGGGGGAGAAAACCCCTTGATAAACGTATTTTTCTAGCCTAAAGCATCACCCATACACACATACAAAACTCCCTCCCCCTGCCTTCCCGCCATCAGCAATGAAATGTTTTTGTGGTGCCTGAAATGAGCAGCTGTCAAGACATAAAGAAATACAACGTGCCGTACCTTATTACAGTTTGGTTTAAGCAGCCATTTGGCTAAGTCTTTCCTGCCGTCAGCACTGAAACACTGAGTAGGGCTGTTGCCTACAGCCACGGCTGCTGGAAGCACGGACACCCATCACACACGAGTGGGGCCCTTTCTCATCGCCCTACACCTCCCCGCCCGCGAGCTGAACCTAGGGACTTGCAGAGGGTCCCCAGGCTGGGAGACCTCCCTTACTCTCTCGTGCTGGCATTTTACATTTTACCTCTCTTGGCAGACGTGCCAAGCAACAGCTTGCAGGGTGGAGGTCTGTCTGCTGCACAGGGCAGGGCTGGTGTGCTTCGCTCCCAAGGAAAGCAGGATTTCAGGCACTGATGAAGCTCTGCAGCTGCCTCAGGCTGGAAGGGTCGTGAAGTCTGCAGCCTCCAAGCCAACTGTTAGGAGTGAAATCTAAGAGAAATACTGTATAAAAGCAATACATTGGTTGAAGAAATGCACTTCTACGCTTGGTCGCAAGCCTTGTAACTCACCTAGGACATGAGAACTCCAAGGCAGCAGAGAACGGGGCCCATACATCTTGTCCTGAGTCATATATTAAATAATTCCATTTCCTTTCAAGAACATTCTATATCCCAGCGAATAACTTGATTTTCACAAATAAAATTAATACTATAGGTTGAAAGTCAGCAAACAATAGAAAAGCTCAGAGGGGTTTTTCCAGTTGTAAACATGCAGAATCCATATGGTCATTAGATACATCTGTGGGTTAAGCACTGATTTGTTTATGCAAGCCTGATGCTTATGATACTCTTAAACGAGGACTATTCTGTTGAATATATGTATACTGTAATCCCCTTTTACCTACCCTCTGCATGTGTGTTTCCTGTTTTCAGCATGCATTCTCGATGTGTAAACTGTGGTGAAGGATATGTTATAAACCAGGATACTACAGAGCATTTCAGATATTTTCAGAGCTTTACAAGCACGGTGCAAGCATATGCAAATCATCACTTACAGATGTGCACAATGTCTGTATTAATCTCTGCATGTTTTTTCAGTTGTTTGTGGCATCTAATTCAAAGAAAAGGACAATAATGGATACTACAAAAAAGTATCAGTTGTTTCTGGGTAGACTCACTGCTACAACGTCCAGACAACTCTTACTGATGAAACCCCACACTTAATAAAATCAGTGTTTTCTGAAGTTAAGATATTGAAGATTCCTGAAATACAAGGAAATCAAGGGAAAACTTACCTCAGTAAAGCATTTGAAAACTCTTAAAGATACTGCCAAGGCTGAACAGTGCCCTGTATCTCTACTGGGTATGATGCAAAAAAGCACTTAAGCACATGCTTAAGTTCACCACTACCCAGAGCAGTACCTAAGCAGGTGCTTCAGTTTCTTTATATGCCAAAATCACCTGCTGAGTGTGTGTTTTACTGCTGGTTTAAAAGATTTCCTGAATCAGGGCCATTATTTCCAGATTGCCTCATAAAAATAAACAAATTAATAAAAGCTTATAAAAAATCCAAGAGCAGTTACTATTCTAGGGAAGATTTTTCATCGTACCTACTTTCATGTCCTTTTCCATTAGCTGCTGGCACTCAACCATCTGTTATGACCACCTTGAATGCTGGTGACCACCTCAGTTTCTCCTGCTATCTCATAGCACCACTGTGCGCATGATTTTGTGGGGTGAAAGGACAGTTGCTCCAGCATATTTTTTGTGGCTGTGATGCTGACTGATACACGTTGGAGGTATTTTAGAGCTGAACAGTTCTGATCTAGCTTATGGTGTGGGAAAAAGAGTCCTTTTCCTCCATGAACTCTCCACAGCCACTGTTGAGAAAGATCAGGGCAAGAGCATTCTGGAGTGCAGAAAGACTGCACAGTCAAAGCAATACTTTGGAACTGGAATAGGTTAGTCTGAGAATGTATCTCAGTCAGGCAGGGAGCAGTCAGGAGACTTCATTTTAAAGAATATTCTTCTATTCCAATTCCCTTTCCTTCCCATCTCTTCCCTTTCCTTCCTTTTTTTTCCTATAAAACCAGGACAAATCTGAACTGAGATCCAGCAGTGTGTGTCCACCTCCTTTGCCCAGGGATTTCTGTTTTCTGTTCCTGTGGTGGTGCATGCTTTGAGGACTGGCATTCCACTTGCTCTCCTTAGTTCCTTTTCCTAAACCCCTCAGCAGTGTTTGAGGGACCTATGCAGGCTGGTAAATGGAAGGATGAAAACTAGTGAATGGATGGTCCTCATTTTGTCCATTCTGGATGGCATTGTCCATCGCATAAAGAGTATCAATTATTATTGCAGATCTGCCTTGTCTGCATTAACTATTTCATTTATTTCACCTGCTCACCCATGACAGGCTGGTGAAAATTATTAGTAGGTTATGCTGTTCTTTCAAACACCCCTTTGGGAACTGTTTCCAAGAAAAATACAAATCCTATTCATTTCAGCACCAGAACGCATTTTAGCACCAGGGAAGTGCTGAAAGCCAAGGTCATTACATTACAGCAGAAACAGAATTGCCTTGAGGCCTCTTATTTTCAGCTTTTCAGATCAGTGGAGAGGGGAAAGAGATACTGTCAACCACACCACAAACTTTTAAGTGCAATATGCATTCCACTTTTCCATTTCATTTGTCCTGGTGATTACTGATTGTTCAAATGCAACCAGGAGCTTTCAAATTTCACTGTTGCCATGTCTCTGAACTCCTGGATGGAGCCTAACTGTGTAGGTGCAGTGCTTTGCTGTTTTGGAAGGCTAAGTGTATGTTGAAGGGAGCCCCAGAACTCCTGGGGCAAGGAATGCTTTGGAATGACAACCTTCCCAGCTGTGATGGAAGCAAGGATCAATGGTGTCTGCAACATGAGGGGCTTTCAGGGAGACTAGGACAGTCTACCTATGGAGAGTTGTGAGGATGCCTCCATCATTAACAGAAAGGGTCAGGACAGAGAAATCAAAGATGATTATAGTGAGAAAACATTTTCTGAATCCAAGAAAGGCCCTACAAGAAGATTCACAAAGCCACCTGAAGGGATTCTTGAACAAAATGTGCTTGAACTCTTCATGAAACATGGAAATAGAGAATTCCCCGTGACTTTGGCCAGAGGGCTTTGAACAGTGTGGCATGGTAAGAATTGCTATTGGGAAGAAGCAAAAAGTAAATGTAATAGTGTGTTTATTTCAGCCCAAGCTGGTATGAGAGTCGGTGGCCACAGCAGCATTGCTGACACTCCTGAGATCTGAAAAGGAGACCACCAATAAAGGTCATTAGCTAAGGTTTAGCAAGGTTAACCCTGACCTTTCCCCATTCTCTAGACAGCTCTTGAGCAAATACAAACCACAGTTATTAAAAACTCTTAAGCAACTACAATAACAAAATAGAATGGAGTCAAAACTGCAGATCTGTTTTATTCAAAGCATAATATTTACAGATGACAGATACTGAAAAGCAGCAGAACTGGTTTTAAGGACCATCCCTGTACATAGATAGTAGAGGCACACTTCAAAGCATTCAGTGTCTTGAACTACACTGAGACATGAATTTAAGCTTTCCAGAAAGAGTATTTTCATTCCTAGAGTTTGGCAATTCCTACATGCCTGGTAAAGAAGAAATCAGAAATGCTCGACTTGCTGTTAGAGTTACAGGTGGAGCCTAAAATGCTAAAAGGCTGCTCAAAGCATTGCTTAAGTCTAATCTAAAGCAGCATTAGTTTAATGTTATCTTTCCCCCCTCAACGGCTTCAAGAAGATACATAAAACCAGACCAGAGCTGATGTTTACTTTTACAGCTAATGGTTCCTCAAATCTACAAGAATTTCTAAGGAGTAGATAAAAGCAGCTGCAAAAGTGATCTAGAAATAAACATCCAGAAGAAAACATAACTGCAATCAAAGTTCCAGCTGTTCACATCTTAATTCTTATCAGTATTCTTTTAATCAGGCACATTTTGAAGTCAAAGGCTTATTTCCAACAGCTTTTGTCCATACACATATATACGCTAAAGTCCCTTGAAATATTACAGAAGTTCTGTTTCCCATCAAAATAGTGTACACTGTCACTGAAATTATTAATTTTCTTTTCCTCATCCCCCATGTTTTCTCTTCTGGGCCCCTCTTTTGCATCTGGCATGTGTACTGATACTCAAGATGACAAATACTGATAACTGCAAAGCTGCAATGCTGCATACTTCCATAAGGCAAAGCTTAGCCAAAGTTAGTCATTGATTTATGTCCTGTACTCTGTTCAACAGCACAAGGGTGGCTTTTTTTCTTTCTAATTCCATACCTTTAATCCTTGCCACCTTCAACTTACTGTGTGTCAAATTTATTGTTGCAGCTGTGGTTTCTTAAAATGAAAGTATGCTTCTTGAAGGCAGTGACACATTCTTCAGTTTATTCGCAGATTTAAATGCTCAGTTGTTCGAAACCGCCTGAACTCATTAAAATCTGATGGTGTGGTGCTTTTGCCATATTAAATGGTTGATAGAGAAGTTTTCAAAAACAAATGAAGGATGTTGGGATAACTATTTTTACTCAGCCCAAATGTGTAGAAAGTGTGGTAATGTTGGCAAAGATCATAAGCCCAGGGTTCTCTTTGGTGAAGAGGTTATTTACAAAATACACAAGGCAGAGAAAGCTCTCCCACACATAAAAAGCCTTGTGCAGGTGTACAGATGAAAGGAAACAAACTCTGCACCATCTAGGTACCATATTACTTAGGATGACTCAACGACCCACAGTAGGAGAGAGCCCACAAGGCAGATCAATTTCAGAAGAAACTATATGCTTACAAAAAAGAGATGCAGAAGTGTTTATATCATGACCTGCACTATTTTAAGAGAATACCCAGCTTCCCTGTGCTCTCCCATGGAAAACAGACCAGAGGCAAGATGCTGTAAAATATATCTCCATACACTTGTGAGTGCTCCAAGTTCCCCTTCCAACCCCTTTGACAACTATCTGAAGGATTACTCTTCTTGTAGGTTTGCTGGTGAAAAGGACCATACCTTTGCTTCAGCCATTTCAGTTCAAAGTCTGGTGCAGTAACTCAAACCCGCTTTTATCATCCTTAAAAGCTAAGAGGTTAGTGTTTTCCACCAGAGCAGCTGAGACACGTCCCATTCCAGGAAAAGGCCAAGAAAATAGCTGAGAACAGTAACAAACCGCTGCAAAAAATCTGCCAGAGGACATCTGTCAAAGTCCAAAGAGTTCCAGTCATGTATTATTTCATTTGATCCCAGAGGCTAAATAATGTACAGGAAAGATTTAATAATGTTATGCAGATTATGTGTGGAAATGTAAAAGGAACCAAATACAATGCCAGTTTGAAAAAATCTTCATGTGCTCATAGCACTATTATTGCTGCAGTCAGAAAACACAGCTTGAGCAATAGGCTATGATAATAAAATTAAAAATTGGAATTGCTAGAATATTTACTCAGGTGAGGCTATTTGATTAAAAAATATGATTTCATATTTTCCCTCTGCCAGGAAATTATCAGTGGAAAGAGCTCCATTCCTGTTTCCACCACATCAGTTCCATTGCCATCTGAAACCCTGATAGTGAAAACATGGCAACCAAGGTCTGCTGCTCACAACATTTCCAAACACCAGTGCAAAGGAGACTTCAGCTGCTGAAAGGAGAACAAAACCAAACTGCCTTCGGCTACATCTGCCTGCAAGTTTGAGTTACAGCATCTGACTGAACTAGAATTTCTGAACTACAGGTATGGCCCCTATCGCCAAGTCACTTCCATAAACAGTAATTTCTGGCAGAGGAGGGGGAAGAGGCAGCTGGAAGGGTGATGTGAATGGCCACCACAGGATCTGCCAAATGACATCTGTCAAATCTTCTGGTAGTGTAGTTCTCCAATGCCTTGTGACACAACTTAAATACTAGCAAAGGAGAGAGTATTAAACAGGATTCTTAGCCAGGATGGCCATGGGCTCCATCATTAAAAACCCAACCTGAATGCAGAAGCAAATGGATCCTATCTGGCCATAGCAAAAAACTTCTGTGCAGACTCTCACAAAGGAAGAGAGTGTAATGTTTCCTAGATTTCTTGAGGCTGGCAGTTGCGGCGGTCTTCCTTCAGCTGGTGTTTTTATCTCCCTTTGGATAGCAGGTATAGTTTTAGTAGCTGAAAACTTATGCTCACCAGTTTTTCTTTCAGTGGAAGGATCTAACACTTTTCTTTCCAAGGTTGGGTTTTTATTTGCAGGGAGTTCCAGCGGGTTTTTCGGTTTCTCATTTCCTCTTGCTATTTCTGCCCTCATCTGTTTTGCAAATGGCCACCATAATGTTAAGCTTATCTAATGGCCAGGCCTCTGCCTGGAAGAATGCTAGCATCATTTTGAAAATCACTCATCTGAAAGCATTCAGAGGAGATGGTCATCACCTTCTCCCTGAACCTCAAACATAAAACTTCCCTGATAAGTGCATATTCCAATACCATGAAAAACAAGAAGTTGCTCTTAAATTCAGATATAATTTTAACCAGCCTCCTTGGGTGACACTTTGTTGAATTAATCTTACTCTACAAATAATAAAGTCTTTTTAAAGTCTTTTTTTTTCAGTCTTTGGAAAAGATACTGGTTGTACAGACACAGTAAAGAGTGAGTGTCCCCATGATGGCTTCACTGTGAAGGCAGGTTTCATTCCACAGTTGGTTCTCCTTTATTTGTTAATTGGGATCCTTTTTTTCTTCACTTGTAGGGTGTAGTCCAGGTCCATCTACTCTTGGGTTTTGACATTAGGCATAGCCATTGCAGTTGCTACCATCAGTGAGATTTGGGGGCTTTTTCACATGTCCTGCTGAGAAAAATGGCAAAGGCTGAACAATTTTTTTCCCCTTGGTAAGGGCACATCTGTGAAAATGCAAGACTTGTTGCAGGTCTTTATGTGCAGACATGCACAGAGAACAAAAATCTCATGAATTTTGTTACTGACCTTGTTGAGTTCTGGATTTTATTCAAAAGGAGGAATTCAGTAGGAGTATTGGGTCTTCAATTTAGAAACTTGAGAAGAATCCTAAAAACACTACCCAAGGTCTGTGTTAAGACACTCTGAGGACACAACATGTAGCAATAAAGATTGATGTAAGAGCTAACAAGATTAACCTTGCAAAAAGAAAACCAGAAGTTTGTCATCATAACATTTATTTAGTTAAGAAGGAAGAGATGAGAACAGTTCCTATACATTCTATAGAAAAAACAAGTCTGTAGGAAAGGGGTCTGTGTGGAAAAATCATCACTCATTCAGACTTCTATTTCCCCAAAGAGAAGGAATTCTGACCTTGTCAGAGATAGAAAAAACAGGCCCAAAGGAGGAAACTGCAGTATGAAGACACCTACACAACAAAAGACTACCCTCTGGAGGAACCTTATTTTGGAAAGAGGGCTAACAACAGGAAGAGAAAGTTCTGCCGGCCGCTGCAATGTGTTGTCCGAAGGGCTGATTCAGTCAGCTCTGACAGAGAGAGAGACCTCCTGAGAGACTGCTGGGAAAAGCGTTTCCCAGCTTCCACGGATCCCGCTGCCTCAGCGCTGTGGGATCTGCTACTGACCACAGCAGGAAAGCTGCCGAGTCTCAGCCGCTGAGCATCAGTCAGTTTCTACTCTGATATACCAGAGGATGCAGGAAGCAGAGAGGCAGGAATGCATGACAATACTAGAGGAGTTATCATAGTACACAAGGCCTTTCTGGAAGAGAAAAAGAAAGTCATACACTTAATACTGTTTTATTAGACTACATAGTATAGCTTAGCTTATTTATTTTGAGTAACTAAGACCATATTTAGGCGGAAGCTGTATTTAAGTTATTTCAGTAAAAATTTAAGGTTAAAACAATAGATATATTGGGATAAACTGGCTGGTGACTTACATGGGCTGTGGGTCTTCCTTTGCACAGTCATTTGTTGATTAAACAAACCTTCTTGAGGCTGAGGACGCTGAATAACAGCAATGAGGCTCCTTCCAGCTTCTAATTTGCATGATAAGGTCCTGTGTATAGCCTTCCTGTCCTAAGACTAGGAGAAACAAACAAAAATAGAATTTCTGGTGGAATCCCCTACATTTCTGAAAGGTATTATTTAAAAATTAGACTGCAAGAGATTATTATCACAGGCATACCGCTTTAGAATAGACTTCCTAGAGGCAAAGAAAGTTTTGGGAAAACCTCTCAAACAATTCCTCTTACTATAAGACACCTGTTCTCCTTAAACCACTTTTTTTTTTTTTTTAGTAGAAGTCATCCCAGCTGAATTAAATTTGTTTCCCTTGGGCCTGCATTTTCTTTAGCCAACACAACAGCTGCACCATGTGGAGATGAGCCACAAGAAGTGTAACAACACATGCTTGTGATTGCTGTATCAGCTTTGGCAGATTTAAGTGCAGAGGTCTTTAGCTGCCTTCTATTAGGAAGCCAGCTTTACAATATATACAACATCCTGCAAAGTAGTAGCAATAATATTATATATAGTTCTATGTATTTCTTGTACGAGCTGGTACAGTAAAATGAGAAAGGAACTGACTATACTTATAGCTATAAATATTGTAGTAAGCACAAACATTCTCTTCTGCATGCAAAGTAGGAACAGAACAGGAGGATGGGTTAACTACAATAAAATCCCCTGAGACCCTTGTGCTAGCTGTTATCCAGTCCTGCAGAGACACTCAACCATTCAGAATGTGCAGTAAACCTGTTATTTCAAAGCTGCAGTAAATTTAATCTCCCCAAGAAATTGCTGAATTCCTGGAAAATAATGCATAATCTTGGTTTAGCATGCCTTTTTTTTTTTTCCTCATTTCAAGAACAGGTGCCAAAAATTGTTCATATGGAGTCTAATTCAATACACTTTAGAACAAAGTTTAAAAGGGTGCTTTAGAGGTGCTTAATTAAGAGCTGTTGAGTATCCCACACCCATCAAAATGAGGTATTTGTTTTTGAAAGACCATTTTGAAAGGTAAAGATAAATGCCAATAATACAGCATAGAATTGAGCATTTGTGTCTATATTGTGTCGTTCTTGTTACTTTCTGTATAGTGTACATATCTGTGGGCATTCTAACACAGTAGTGTGACTTCATCCTTCCTACATATTTTCTCACTTAAAATTGCTATACCATTGCATATTGTATAATGTGCATTGCATAGCATACATTGATATTGTAATGCATTATACATTAATATGCAATGCATATTATACAACTTTGCATACATGTCCCTGTGACTCTGAACAGCAAATTTTCCCACTGCCTAATGTTTCAGATGCTTAGTATCTATTCCAGGATAAGGGGACCACTTCTACTCTGTTTATCTTCTCTGACTGCATTGTTTTTAATCAAATGAACCTATGACACATTATTAAGAGGTTATGTCAAATAAATTGTAGTGTCTAATGTGATCTGCCTCCAGTTTTGACCTTTCCTCCATCCTCCTGGGAGATTAATTGAGCCAAGGATGGAAACACTAGTCAAGCAAAAATCTGTGTTCGTATTCACACTCCCATGATCAAATTAGGCACCACTCTCCTTTGAGAACTGATCCCCAAAGAAGTATATTTGAAAGAAAGACTCTGTTGATGTTAACAGATTTTGGATCAGGTCCTAGAGACATTCTGACTAGTTTGAACTGCATGAAGCAGGGATTTACTATCTATTAATCTTCTTTCCTCCTTCTTCTCTTTCAGTTTTCATTGTTTTACCTAGTATTCAAATTAGCACATTCATTTTAAAATTAGCTTTAAGGAATTTAAACTGCATATTGCTAATCTGGTAAGAGCAGCTGAACACCACTAGTGTAACAAATTAGATCATGGAACTACAGGAGAGCTCAAGGATGAAGCAAGAGAACTTGTGTACTGGCTAGTTCAAGGTTACACAGAAACATTGAGCTCTCTCTTGTTTAGAAAATATTAAAATGTGCTATATGAACATAAAAGAAGTAATGTCTTTAAAAGGATTAGCAGTTTTACTCTGTAGGGATCTATGGGAGGAGATGGACTCCACCCTGAAGAAGATAAAAGACCTCAGTTTTCTCAGCTGGAAGGAGTGATTCATTTTAGGTGGAAGTGGTATGCATGTGATATTCCTCATGTGGTAAATTAACTGTTTCCATTAAGCTCCTAGCATATGGAATTGCTCTCTTTCCTTCCGCTCCACAGTGAAAATTATGCCACCAGAACATTTTAGTTTTGCTAAACCCAGCCTGGGTAAAAATGTGCAGTGTTGATAGCTGTTGACAAACTCTTATTCCGTATTAAATGAATCCATTAATCTTCCACTAGTTTTCTGTTTGCAACTAAGAAAATCTATTTTTCAGTAAAGGAATACCGGGAAAAGTTTAGGTCTCAAATTCAATGGGGTTCATTAGCTCTCTAGATAGTAACTTGCTTTATGTTTTGCTGTCATTTTATAGCCTGACCTACGTACACTCATTCAGTCACTTCAAAGTTCTGTTTTCAGCAGACAGTTCCTTTGCTCTGTCGTGACAGCAGTTTAAGTATTCATCCTGGGTAGGGGTGAGAATGTGTAAAACTCTCCCCTGTTGAACCAAGCCGAACCTGATTAGAGGAGACTCAAGTCAGTACATTGTATAAAGGCAGTTCTGTGAAACTTCATTATTTGCTGGGTTGCTGTTTCTTTAGTACATGAGCTACTGCGGGGAAGGCTTCCCACCGCTTTTAAGAGCAGAATGGGAACATAAGTACAAATCTTGATCTTTTTCTTGTTTTGAATATATCTCTACTTTGCATGGGATTTTATCTTGTAATCAGACCCTTACTTCACGGTCAGTCATGAAATGGCTGTTATGACACTGAAATTTTTTTGGGAAGTTTTAAGACTAGAACTGTATTTAGGGTTTGGGTTTTGATTTGTAGTTTTTTTTTTCTTGTGATTGTACATGCTACAGGAGTATCTTATTTGGACTTGAATTGTGATATTCTGGCATGTTTTGATTGGGAAAGGTTGGAAAATATTAGGAAACTGAAATGTTGTGGTTTCTGGATTTTAAAGCATGATTCCTCCACATTGATTAAAGAATGATTCCTCCACATAACAAACACTTGTTTTTTGGTCCCTATGAAGCAAGATGGAGATGCATTTCAGACATAAATAGGAAGGGTTTCATTAAAAAAAACCAACACCCCAAACAAAAAAAAAAAACAAAAACAAAAAAAGACCAACAACAGAGTTCTATAACTGAATAAGCTGTAAGGATTTTACAGCATTGCTTTTGTAGTGCTCAGTATTCACAATATGCTCTCCAGTTGTATTGAACTCTCCTTATTTGTCATTTGTTGTTCTGCACTTGTGCTTCCCACCTATTTATACTTCTCTTCGATCACTTCTGAGAGAGGCCCACAAGGGCAAGGAACCTTACCTCTTTTAAATCTGAAAGAATGGGTCATGGTAGCCTCTTGAGAGAATTGTCCCTAAAAGAAAAAAAAAAACCAAACTCCTAAACTTCCCTAAACATTTCTGTCATGTACACCTCAACTCTCAGCTCAGGAGCAAAAGGAAGATGGGAGAAAATGCAGCCCTCACAGAGGTGAAAGCCTTGGGCATAAGGCCTGTATGTATTCAGGCAGCTGACATGCATTTCACATAGCACTTGCTTCATCAAGTAATGATGATTCAATCATTCTTTAGTTTTTGATACTAGTTTCCATTTTGAACGCAAGCATCAAGGCATGCTAGTTAAATGTTATTTATTCTCTAGGGTGTGAGCACACTTCTTTGCAGACTGAAGAACAGATGGCTGTCCACAGAAAGAGGGAATATTTTTGTGTAGAAGGGAATCCAGAGTAACCCTCAGCATTACCACAACAACAGTAATTGTTTTACAAACCAAAATATTTTTTTTTTCAAGTCGATGATAATCCGGAGATCCCATGAGCACAATCAATGCAGCTGTAGTACAGACTGGAATATCTTCTGTGGTTAACTGTAAATAGCAACTCTGTATCCATGGTTTATTTTTACCATAGTGTGCTATAATAGGAAAAATAGCAAACGGGTAGTCTATATATAGCCTGTTACTAAGACTGTGAGTTAAATGGCTAGTCAACAGAAAAATCCTATCCTAATCAACAAATTTCTTTAGGTCTAGTAGTAATTTTTGGATACAAAAATGATGTATATTAGGCAGTGCAGCTAAGTTTTTACTACTACAGGTTGTTACTGCTCTTTTTAATGTCAAAAAAGAATTTTGTGAATCATGCTGATTTTAATAAAGTGTATATGGATAGCAGAACCTGCATCTGTATTGCCTGATTATTTATTTACTGCATCTTTTTTTGCTGGACCAGCAAAAAGTCATTTTCCTTTTACATTACATTAATTAAGCATTAAGTTCTGAAAAGTTAAGGAGAAGAAATAAAAAGCAACTGTTCTTCATTCCTAAGCTTGATTAAAAACTCACTTTTAGTTAAAACTCTCAATTTTAGTCCAAACTATTCTTCAGACAGAATATGCTGTTGTTTTATTTATAAGTATTTTATGATTGACAGGGTTAGAAAAGTATATAACAAATTCTTAGATAAGACTTCAAGGTTACTTCACATTAGACATGATAGGTAGGAAAAAATACAGGCAGAAGTCAGTTTTTCTTATCTTCTGTATAAACAAGCTGGTATTTCATTCAAGGCCTTTTCTTCAACTTTCAGCATACCAGATTGTTATCAGGCAGTCACAGAGACATGCAAACATGGTGTTGTTGACTATTTGTCTACTGAATTTATGAATTAGTTTCTAAGGAGATCAGGCTCCTGCATTCGTTCTCTCTTTGTTCTTGCCTGCCATTCCTTGCCTTTCTCCCCTTCACACTCATTTGTGACTTAGCTAGCTAGTATTAATCATGTTTGATGAAAAGCTGGAGGTCTGTAATTACAGTAAGTTCCTATTTTTACAAAACTCGTTAAGTGATGTGTAGAGGAGGGAATGCCCAGAACTTCACACAATACTCCAGGTGAGGTCTCACGAGAGCAGAGTAGAGGGGCAGGATCACCTCCTTCAACCTGCTGGTCACGCTCCTTTTGATGCAGCCCAGGATATGGTTGGCTTTCTGAGCTGCAAGCACACACTGCCAGCTCATGTTCGTTTTCTCATCGACCAGCACCCCCAAGTCCTTCCCTGCAGGGCTGCTCTGAATCTCTTTGCCCAACCTGTAGCTGTGCCTGGGATTGCTCTGACCCAGGTGTAGGACCTTGCACTTAGCATGGTTAAACTTCATGAGGTTGGCATCAGCCCACCTCACAAGCATGTCGAGGTCCCTCTGGATGACATTCCTTCCCTCCAGCATATCAACCGGACCACACAGCTTGGCATCATCAGC